AGTAGCACATGCTTGTGTGAACTTAATTCAGGCCACAATGGCAGAGCTGGCTCCCTTTCTCATGGGGATGAAAAATATAGGGTGGGTGTGCTTTGCACAGTGATGGGGGTGCCAAAAACTTGAAATTAGTCATGGAAGAAGTAGATGGGGGAAAAAATACCGTATAGCTTTTGTGCATTTGTATTGATATTTTGAATTTCTGGTAATGTGTGATCTATGCAGGTTGGAGAGACTCTTCTTAAAATGGTTGTTGAGGGAGCTCAAGTTCCAACACAGAATCATGATGTTACTGAAAATAATATTTCTCATTGTTCTGAGGGTGAGGTAAATAAAAGTAAAACTTGTGGAGTCCTATCAACACCAGCTGTGCGACACCTTGGTAAGCGATATGATATAAATCTAAATGATGTCCATGGATCTGGTAAAGATGGGAGGGTATTAAAAGAAGATATAATTAAACACGCTATTCAGAAAGGAATCATTAAAGATTCCTCTGGCTTTGAGAATGCTGATTCTGGAGACCAGTTTTTGAGAGGTGAAAAGGACTACTCATACGTGCCAGCTGAATTAGGCTCACAACACGGTGATAAGGCAATTCCTCTAAGGTAATATTAGAAGCTAATGTGAACTGAAAACCTTTTTCCTATCATTTTTTTTTAAAGAAGGGGGTAGGAATGCACAAAACTACTTTCCTTAGCATTTTACTCTTCACAAAATAACCAGTTTTTGTTTTTTAAATGATAGGATTAGGATAACATAGCAATTCTTATATTGCAGAGGTGTTAATTTTCCCTGCCATTTTAATCATAATGATAGGTCAGTTAATTTGGTATCCAAGCCATAAGCCAGGCAGCCACAACCATTTACTGCAAGCCTATGTTTTGATTTCAGACCATATCAAGCATATGCTGGTTTTGATTGCCTAGCATTGTGAATAGGTGCACCTAAAGGTTCATGCGTGCATAGTTTGTCTAATAGCTTTTATTTATAAGTTGCTTATGAGATTGTGTTTACAGGTTCTAGCTGTAAACTTCATTTTTACAAGCAACAGTTAGAGATCCATTTATGTACACGTAGTTATGTTAAATGATAATAGGATTGCTACATATGAAGGTCTTTTACGTTGGAACTATATAAATAAAATCAGACATATCTTGTGAATTCAATGGTATAGTTTTACATGGGGTGGAAGAACACCTGTATTGTAAATCTTGTCCTGTGAGATATCATAACCTTTAATTTTAAATGCCAAAATTATCCTGTGATACCCTTAAACTTTTTATTGCAAAAACTGTGATTGAAATCTTATTCTTTTACAGTAAAGTCTAAATTCTTAAAGAATACTTGTTTATTAGCCAAAACACTTTAAATTTAGTGTTGAAGCAAAATAATTGCCTGCGTTTTTTTTTTTCCAGGGGATTCCAACGCACAATGGTGAAAACAATGTCAATGGCTGCAAAAGTTCCACATTTTCATTATGTAGAAGAGATAAAGTGTGATGCATTGGTGGAGCTTAAAGAAAGTTTCCAAAACAATAACACTGAACCAGGTGTGAAGCATACTTTCCTTCCATCTTTGATAAAGTCACTTTCAGTGGCCATCAGCAAATATCCATGGATTAATAGTCGCTTCAATGAGGACTCAATGGAGGTCATCCTGAAAGGTTTGTTGATTTATTATTCTTTGCTGCTGCAATGTTGTTTACTGCTTCTATTTTCTGATGGGCACATGTTCAATGAGTGGTAAAAAACAACTATTTACAGTAGGCTTTCCAGTATACGAGCACGATAACTCTTGCTTGCGAAAGCATTTCTTCTCAAAGTAATTTAAACTTGTAATTTTGGTGTCCTTTGCAAGTCTTTCAAGGATCTAACAAAGCTGGAACCAGATCCATCGTCAACAAAAGTGTAAAATGAGACAGACATTTATAGATTATAGATTCACTGGTCTTGACTGCTTATAAAACCAATATAAAATTTATCCTACTTCCATATGAGATGGATGTATCCTGCAGAAGCTCTACTTTTGGCTCTACAAGGATGTATTTATGTGTTTATATTTCTTGCCAATGGAGGAATTGTTCTGATGTAAAATAATTTTCTTTGAGAACTGTTGATCAGAATGTTGCTTGGATTATGTTGAATATTCTTATTGATATCCTTAAACTCTCTTTTCTAATTAATCGTGGTCATAATAACTGTTGAATCTCATAGGTTCCCACAATATTGGAATTGCCATGGCTACTCCATCTGGTCTAGTTGTACCAAATATAAAGAATGTTCAGTCTCTTTCCATCTTGGAGGTTCGTTTCATTGTCTCCTGTCTGTTATTTACGTACACAACTATCTTCTATTTCACTCTGCTTGATTGCTAGCAGCTTCTTGCTTGTGTTCAAGTAATAAAATGGGATTTCAAAGTATTGAGTTTGACTTCAAACTTTGCTTTCATACTTAATAGTTAAGGTGAGAGATATAATTTGATAGATTTGATAATGAAAGTTAGAATGTTATAAAGCACACGAATTCATATTGAAATGAGTAATTTTTTTAAGGTTGCATCTTGCATTATATGCATACTTACAATTAGGTTCATCCATAACTGTAGGCAAGAATGACACAATGCCTAATTTTTCCTTTTTGGAATCTGTCTTGTTTTATTCTCAGTTTGTTTACTTTCAAGTACTTCTCCTCAAAACACCTTTTGTTCTCCTCCCTTTCTCTGGCATTGTTGACAATGTCGCCTATGTATTTAGATAACAAAGGAGCTTTCGCGGTTGCAACAATTGGCCTTGGCTAATAAGCTTAACCCGGAGGATATAACTGGTGGAACAATAACACTAAGCAACATTGGAGCAATTGGCGGGAAGTTTGGTGCTCCCATCCTCAACTTGCCTGAAGTGGCAATTATTGCAATTGGCCGAATTCAGAAAGTGGCTCATTTTGCAGATGATGGAAATGCATATCCTGTATCAGTTATGACGGTAAGCAATGTTTCAGTTAACTTCTTTTTTATTTGCTTCAGAAAAGTAAAGCACTGTCCATGTATAGGACAATCTTACTGTAAACTGGGCATGCTATTTCAAACAATTAGAGAAATCTTGTGACAAAAAGGGCTAAAATTATACATCACGATTACTGATTGTTAAAACGATGGCTCTTTATGGCGTTTCATTGTTGTATCTGATCATCTGCCTCTTTTCTCAGGTAAATATTGGTGCAGATCATAGAGTTTTGGACGGGGCGACTGTTGCAAGATTTTGCAATGAGTGGAAACAGTTGATTGAAAAACCAGAGCTGCTCATGTTGCTTATGAGATGACTTCCTTGACTGGTTGCAAGATGACAGGGGGTGGGGAATTCTAATTTCTGGAAATCGTATTCAATAAGATTTAAATCGTGAATTGTAAGTACTAGAAATCATGAATAACAAGTGTGTGCGCTCATTTAGTCCATGGATGTCCAATGCCGGGATTTCTTACTGCCTTCTAGTTGCTGCTTGAAGATGAGAACTTTCTTTAGCTTACACAGTCTAATGATCATCTATAAATCCCCTGACCTTTTCTTTTACGAATCCCATGTATTTCAGTTGATTTGTTTGTGTTGAAAAAATGGTTTTAAAATTTTTTGATTGTTGTTTTTAAAATTATTATTATTATTTTAATAATTTAAGATTGTTTTAATATGTTAATATCAAAAATATTTTTTTAAAAAAAATATTTTTTTGATATATTTTTAAATAAAAAATATTTTTTTAAAAAATTATTAATATAACATTTGTTTTTCTAAAAGCCATTAAAAAGTTAGTTTTGAACCTTCTGAATGTAAATTGTATTTCTCAAAAAAAGAAAAATATAAAAAAGGACCTGTATATGAAAAGAAATAAAATATAAAGAAAGAAAATAATGTATTTTTAAAAAAATTATAAAAACAAAAATAAAAGTTATGCTAAAAGGTATATGTTTAAAAGCTTATTTTCTACTATCTTTATAAGTCTAATATGTGTTTTTTTAGGGGATTGATGTTTAGATTTTATAACCACGTGCGGGTTATGTTTGTTTTTAGTAATTGTTTTTTTTAAATTTGGATGAAATGTTAACATCTTTGACAAGTCTTTTATTTTTAGAGATTAATGTTATTTTCTGACAAGTTTGGAGATTCAATGTTAGATTTTTTATAAAATAATTAAAAAAATAAAAAACTAAAAACAATTAGGATAATTGATGATAGTAAAGAAGATAAACTTAAGAGAAAACATATAACAAATATGGTTTCATAAAAAACATATTGTAAGTGTAATATTGTTCTTCCTTCAAGTATACTTAACCTCTTGAATTTTTGGAATTAGTTCATATTTTAGGATTCTTAGTTTTTTTTAATTATTAGATGGTGATTTCAATTTTCCAAGACACATTTTAGGCCCTTATTGAAATGTCCACCGAGGTTTATAGTAAGATATGCATAAAATATAGAGGTGTTTTGCAAAAGTATCAATACATGATCCTAAAAAAATCAAGATAATACCTAAAACTATGGCTTGTGTATTCATAAGATATGTATAAAATAGTAGTGCATATAAATTTCTTATACACAAGTCAAGTATTGAGGATATTCATCTTAATATTATTATGAAATTAATAAATGCTATATTCTTTGAGGATGTGTTTCCATAGAAAAAAGCATGAAAAAATCATTCACTTAAAACAATAATTGACACTAGCTCAAGTAATTGTCATAAATCAGAAGATGATGAAGTTAAGCTTATAAAGATTAAAAACGCAAAAATAACCAAAACATATGGTCTTCATTTTTTAACATACTTGTTAAAAAATAAACCTCCAACCTACTTTAATATAATGTTTGGAAAAAAAAATAGTCAATATTAAAATTGAATTCATTATAAATAATCATATATATAAATTAATTGATTTTCCTCCCAGAAGTAAACCATTAGACTATAAATATATCTTCAAAAGGAAGATGAAACCTAATGACACTATTGATAAATATAAATGTAAACATGTTATTAAAGGATTTAAACAATAAAAAGATGTTGACTATTTTGACACATATTCACCTGTGTTAAGAATAACTTCCATATAAATACTAATAATTATTGTAGCTATTAACAAGCTTAAAATATATCAAATGAATATAAAAATAGCTTTTTTAAATAGTGACTTTGAAAAGGAGGTTTATGTAGAACAACCTAAGGGGTTTGTTATAAATAAATAAGGAAAAAAAAGTCTATAAGCTTGTCAAATTAGTATATGGTTTGAAATAAGAACCTAGATAATGGCATGAAAAGTTTGACAGGATTATGTTGTCAAATGACTTTAAAATCAACAAAGTTGATAAATATTATTTTGATATATTTTTAAATCATTATTATAACATTTATGTTTATATTTAGTTAGTTTTGAGCCTTCTGAATGTAAATTGTATTTCTCAACCAAAAAAAAATTTATAAAGAAGGACCTATATATGAATAGAAATAAAATATAAAGAAAAAAAATGATGTTTTTTTTTTTAAATTTTAAGAACAAAAATAAAAGTTACACTAAAAGGTATGGGTTTAAAAGCTTAATTTCTATCATCTTTATAAGTCTAACATGTTTTTATTTAGGGGATCGATATCTAGATTTTATAACCACATGCAGGCTACATTTATTTTTAGCAATTTCAAAAAATAATAAAATTAGGAATTAACATTAACACCTTTGACAAGTCTCCTATTTTTAGGGACTAATGATATTTTATGTTAGATTTTTCACAAAATAATTAAAAACATAAAAAAGCTAAAAACAATTAGGATAATTGATGGTAATAAAAAAGATAAACTTAAGAGAAAATACATAGTAAATATAACGTTTCATTAAAAAAAGATACTATAAGGGTGATATTGTTTTTCCTTTAAACATAATTAACCTCTTACTTGAATTTTTAGAACTAGTTCATATTTTAGAATTCTTAGTTTCTTTTAATTATTAAGTGGTGACTTTAATTTTACATGACACATTTTAGACCCTTGCCAGAATGCCCACTAAGGTTTATTGTAAGATATGTATAAAATATAGGGGTGTCTTGTAAACGTGACAATATACGATCCTAAAAATATCAAGATAAGACTTAAGACTATGGCTTATGTATTCATAAGATATGTATAAAATAGTAGTGTATAGAAATTTCTTATACACAAGTCAAATATTGAGGATATTCATCATAATACTATTATGAAATTAAAAAATGCCATATTTTTTAAGGATGTGTTTCAATAGAAAGAAGCATGAAAAAATCATTTACTTAAAATAACAATTGACACTAGCTTAAGTAATTGTCATAAATCAAAAGATGATGAAGTTAAGCTTAGAAAGATTAAGAGCGCAAAATGATCAAAACATTTGGTCTTGATTTTTCAACATACTTGTTAAAAAATGAACCTTGAACCCACTCTAAGACAATATCGTGTCCAGAAGAAGGTTGTCAATATTAAAATTGAATTCATTACAAATAATTATATATAAAAACTAATTGATCTTCCTCCTAAAAGTAAACCATTAGACTATAAGTAGATCTTTAAAAGGAAGATGAAAGCTAATGACACTATTGATAAATATAAATCTAGACTTGTTATTAAAGGATTTAAACAATAAAAAGATGTTAACTATTTTGACACATATTCACTTGTGTTAAGAATAACTTCCATACGAACATTAATAGTTATTGTAGCTATTAACAAGTTTGAAATATCTCAAGTGGATGTAAAAATAGCTTTTTTAAATAGTGTCTTTGAAAAGGAGGCTTATATAGAACAACCTAAGAGGTTTGTTATGAATGAATAAGAAAAAAGAGACTATAAACTTGTCAAATTAGCATATGATTTGAAATAAGCACCTAGACAATAGCATGAAAAGTTTGATAAGATTATATTGTCAAATAAGTTCAAAATCAACAATGTTGATAAATGTGTTTATGTGAAAAACATAAATAAATGTTGTGTCTCTATATCGACTCATTAGTACTTAAAAGTGCATTTTTTATCAAGGTTTTATGTCATCATTTTGCACTTGAATTATCAATAACTCCTTAATTAAAGCATGTTTTATAATAATATATCTA